TTGAAAAATATATATTTAAAAAAAAAAGACTTGTAGTACTAGTAGCGTTATTTAAAAAAAAAATGCGCGAACCGACGAGCCGAGCTTAAGCTCGGCTCGCCGAGCCACTCGCTTTGGGCAAGCTCGGGCACGAGTCGAGCTCTCCCAAAAGGCAACGAGCCGAGCTTGACTAGCCACGAGCACGAGCCAAGCTCGTGCGACAATGGACCGAGCCGGCTCGGCTCGGCCCATTGACACCACTATCCGAAATATTGATCTATTTTCCCAAACAAGTATCTATAGGAGGCATGAAGGCTCTCTGCCGGTAAATTTGAAATCAAGGGCGAAACTAGCACCAGACGAGCCATGACAACTGCCTATGCTATCTTTGTTGGATTTTTTTTATTATTATTATTTTTTTTTCATATATTGGGCAGTCGCTCGATCTGTAACTTTAGTAGAATTTTCAGCAGTTCGTAGTTCTTTCTGCCTAAATAAGCTCATTTTAAAGAGCTTTTAAGCTTTAACCAAACATGATCTAGTTTTAGTGGTTGACCTCACAATGACTGTTCAAATTCCATAATCTAAGTTCTCAGCAATCACATAACCAGAATTTAATAGTATTGTGCCCTTCATTGACACAGATTGTACAACGCTGTAATAATCTCTGTGAAATTGAATAATATGGCAAGTATAGACAACAACTGAACTCAAGAACAGATACAACCATCAAGAAACCATAAAATCATGTCTATATAGCATTTTTACAAGAAAAGCTAAGCGGTCTTGCATTACACAAGGGCACTAAATTTCAAGCACCTAGCCTAATTCGAGTTTGTAAGGCAACAATTTGAATCATTCAATTCAATCTTACCCCTGAGAAAGTTAAAAAGAACCGAAAACAAGACACTCAGCTATGTTTGCTATAAAGTATTAAACAGTAGTGCAGCATCTTTTTCTTTTGAAATCCTGGTAAAAAACATTGTAGACAGCAGGTCTTGCTGCGATTTGACATTCATGGAGCCAATCAATTTGGCACTGTGGAACTAGGCTGGGTGACTTTTTCTTTGACTGCTGGTTGAGGTTCTGCAAATAAAAGCGTGAACGTGTCACTAATGCAAGTTTAACTTGATAAAAGTTGGAAGGTGAAAAAAATGAACACAACTGACATCCCTGATGCAGAGAGGATGTTGAACTACATAGTTAAAAAGAAAAGCTGGTAATGACCACTCTGGAGATAAAGCTGTGGCCGTCCGAAGGAAACACGTGTTTCTTATAGTGCAGTTAGATTCCATTATATTTTTTCTGCACTTCAATTTATTTGTTGACATACACTAATTCTACATGAAGCAGAAGAGTTAGAATAACCCGAACGAAGATCTTCAAGGAGTAGATATGATCCACTGAAATAACTGAGTCCCACTGACCTCTGTGATCTGCAGATAACAACTGATCACATGCACAAGTTTCGTCTTCCTTAGCTTGATACCCTGGTGTGGTTGACTCACCTTGTGTTAGGATCACATAGGAGACATTGCATAAAAATGCATCCATCTCTCTCTCTCTCTCTCTCACAAACACACATCCATTGACATATATACAGTCACATCAATGGCAACTATAATAAGTATCATATCATATGACAAGGTGTAAGCTTTCTGAGCCATTTATTGGATCCAGCACCTATCAGTTAATACTCTATAAGACTATAACTTCGAAACGTCGTGTAGATGTCTCTGAAGTTCATATGTCGAAGAAAACAAAAGGACACAAAGAAAGAGAAACAGCGGTACACTAAGACTAAGAATTGGAGGGCCAAAGTCTCTTCATTCCCTTACTGTATCCTTTAGTTATATGGAGGGCCAAGAATTGGATCTTACAACACATATCACACCCTTGACTCTCAGGATTTGTATTCCATACCCTTCTCGACTTCAGATACGGTTGCGGAATATCTAACTACACTAATTAATCAATACTGCATCTCGTATTAGCATTTTTAGATTACACGCTAGTCAGCATCTCTGGTCTCTCCAAAAATGTAACTTAACTAGAGTCGAATGTAGAGTGTATTAAACCATTTTTCCAAATTATACCCACTGAAATAAAGAATCTTATTCAGCAATCACACATAAATTAGGAGAGAAATCGCAAATAAGTTCGGTATGTCTCTGAAAAGAGATAGAAAGAAAGCTCACTCGATATAAGTGCCTTTGGCCTGGTCTTGAACAAAATTTTGTGACGAATAATTCCAATCACATCCAATTCCACCCGCAAAGAATTAACGTCTCTTTCGCCCATCTCTTCTTCATTTTGTAGTTTAATCTTCTTCAACACTAACATGGGCTTCTTCAGCTTCACTTTTGTTCCAGTAAGCTCATGGTATCCAACTGAAAACGTGTAATTTTCCTGAAAAAAACCCACAAAAATCTTCTCAAATTCTCAATAAAGAGAAGTAACTCTAGTTAACAAGAAAAGCAACCCATTAATGGGTTTACAGTGAAATCGCAAAAAAACCTGAGATTGGCGGCAGAGAATGCCGATTTGAAGGTTCTGGAGGCTGTTTTGAAAAGAGGGTTGTGCTTCAACCGTGCCTTGGAGTTCCAAGATTGCCCATTCTGGGCAGTCGCCTTCTCCACAACTGCACTTCACCTGGATTTGCATTTCCTCCTTTTCTACCAACAATAGCAAGCTAAAAGATTTTTAGAGGTTTGGTTTTGAAATTGAAGCAAAAGAGAGTAATTCGGATGGGAAAATGGTTTTGGCGGCAATTATATGCATTTCCCGCTCCTAAAAAGCATTATTGTTTGATTTGACAATTTGTTTTATATTAGGTTAATTAAGTCAGTGGTTAATCAAATTCAGGAATCGATAATAATAAAAGATATACATGATATTATAGATAAATTGAAAAAAAGGAAAAAAAAATATTTTAAAATACGATATACCTTTAACCCAAATATAGATATAATAACATATCTTGATATTATAAATTCCCAAACATTATTAGGTTATGAAAATTTACTTAAAACTTTGTAAATGAGAATACCTATCACCAACATATTCATTTATATTTTCTAAACTTAATTGGTCAAAGTTTTCTATTAATAAATCTAATTCCTCATTCATCTTCTTCAATCTTTTCTTCTTCAATTTGTTTCTAGTAATTGTTTGAAATTTTCTTCTTCTTCTAATATTTTAGGTAAAATCTTTTTCCTAAATTCATCATCCATACTTTCTACTTCTATCACCAAATTTTTTTTTTGTTCTATGTGTTTCTTTCCAATTCTAGTCATCTATTTTTCTATAAGTTTTTTTTTATCTATTTTCTTTTCCTTAATTCTATTGTTTTCTTTTAATTTTCTAATTTCAATTTTTAATATATTTATATTATTTCTTACTTCTTTTATTTCACTTCTCAAATCTTGGACATCCGTTATTAATATTTTTATTAGTTATTTAAGTTCATTCATTTCTTTATTAAGAATGTCTATTAATATTTTGGAATTCTTATTTTGCAAGTTTTATTTTTGATTGGGTAAAATAAAATAATTTACATTCATTATCTTTTGATTCTTTAATTATTTTATTAAATCTGAATTTAAAGTGTGTTTGATCCACATTATTTTGGAAGAATGTATTTTGGAATAATAGATTGATGGAGAATGTGTGGTTGAAAATGAAGGAAAATTTATTGATGTGATAGAAATTATTATTTTATTAAAGAATGTGTGATTGAAAATGAGTAAAAAAATGAGAATGAAAAAATTAATGTGATTCAAACAGGGCTTTAAGTTTGTCATTGCACACATTTTCCTACTATATTAAAAATGGCACTTTAATGATTACCGTATATGCAATAGTAATTCAATGAGATGTTACTGTTCATTTTTCCATTTTTCACTCCTCTAGTTCTCCAATTTTATGATTTCTTACATCTTATATCCATTTTATACACGTCTTATATATATATATTCGTTTCCATATTTTTTTTCTCAGTCTGCTATAAAAAATGACGATGACATATTGAATTTTGAATAATTTGATTTGTCTTTCTATTTTGAAAATTTTGATTTTATCTTGAAAATTGGTTCCAGATCTTAATTATGTTTTATAAAAAAAATTGGTTCGGTTTGTGTCCGTGCTGCATGGAGAAATTTTTTTTTCTCTTTTTTTTTTAAAACATCCCTACTATTTAAAAAAGGCAATGAGCACTGCACTATAGATGTAATAGTGATCCAATCCCCTTCCAAATTTTTTTTTTTCCCTTTTTTTTTTTCCATTTGTTTTTAATTTTTCCTCTTTTTGAATGCAAAACGACGTCGTTTTGCCTTAACCTATGGCAAAACGATGCCCTTTTTGTTCTTTTACTTTCTTATTCATTTTTCGAATACACGCAACCTTTTTCTTCATCCTTTCCCAACTTTCTTCCCAAAATTTGCTCTCTATTTTCCAATCTCTCATCCGACGCACGTAACTTTTTGCTTTCTTCTTCAGCCTTTGCCAACTCTTTCTTCCCAGAATTTTCTCTCCATTTTTTGGGGGACTTTAACTTCACCAATTCTTTTCCTTGCTTCATCTGATTCTAATCTGAAAGGATTTTTTTAATATATGTAAAGTTCTTTTCTTTAATGGTTGGACTTGTGAATTTGATTTTTCTTTGTAGGATTATTACTTGAAAGAAAACAAATTCTTTATCTTTATTCAAGATTTTACTAACTCTATTTCCTCATTCTCTGGTGACATCGACGAGATTAACGGTACTCACTTAAGCTTTCATCTTCTTCGAATTTTTGAGGTGGGTTTTTCTGTATAAGGCATAATGGAGCAGAAGCCTCGTATCTTTCTACGAAGACTGAAATTGGGTACACGGGAGGTGCACCTTTCTTCAATCTTACTTATAACTCTGACATTCCATAAGTCTATCAACTATTATTTATGAATCTTGAAATTATTTACTTTTCACAATTTCCCAAATTTTCATCTTCCTTTGTTACATCTTACCTCCCTCTATTATCAATGAATTAAAATCAATATATTATTTTACTTTTCTTTCTCTATACACGCATATACATACAAATTGTAGTCTAAAGTTGGGGGATTTCAAGGTTATGGTGATTGCAACAACATTTGTTGTTGTGCTGTTGGGTGTTCTCTTTTTCGTATCTGGGCTAGTTGTCAATTTCATCATAGTTATGCATTTACACAAGATTAAAAATCAATTTTTTGAAATGTTTCTGATATGGTTTTGATTTAGTTGAGCCGATTAAACTGGTTTTTCTTTATCCCTAGCTGATTTGCTAAACATTTTTTTAGGGTTTTTTTTTTTAATCTTTCTTGAATGATTTTCTGGTTATTTTGTTGTAATATATATCATCCATGAGTAAAGTATTTTTGAATTTGGACAAATGTCACAAAATTTATTGGGGGATTTCTTGTTGGAAAGTGAATGAAAAACAGAAACATTTTCAATCAATTCAGCTATTATTTCTCCAATTCAGTTTCAGCGTTTCAGATGAAAATCAGTTTTCATTTCTTCAGTTTCGGTCAGCCACATTACATTTTCAGTTTTGTCCGTTTCATCACATCAATGTTGTAACTCCTCATTCAAGAGCTTGCTCCTCCTCTTTGGATATAAATAAGAGCACTCGGTTGGAAGGAAAAGAACAACAAACACAAGAGTAAAATACAAGCCACTTTCCAGTATCATTTTTCTTCTTCCCAGTTTAGATTTTTCTTTTCTAAAATTTTGAGAGATAGAGTGAATCACAGCTAGTTCATAGGTCGATAACGTAGTGCAACGTGGACCGATAACCGATTGTATCCTGGGAATCGAACACCGATCAAAAACCTCATGCACCCCGGTGAGGCGGCTAATTCGATTTAAGAAAATCGTGTAAACACGGGCTTTCGGTTTGATTGATTTACTTTGATTCACCTTTATTTTTCCCTACATTTCTCAGGTACTATGTTTTGTGCTAATAAAATCATTATCAAAGAACACTTACAGGAGCATAAATAAAGTAGTGGTAGAGGTATTGTAGCTCCAACTCATTTGGTTAGTTGACTGGTGGGTCGGAATTAAGGTGCAGAAATCTAAGCTTATTTCTTGAATGCAAAGCTTATTTCTTTATGTTACGAAAAAATTCCGAATATCCAATATCTTAAATGAAGTTATTTTATTTGTATTAAGAGTGATAATATAGTTGTTGATTCACCTTGGAAATTTCAATTACTAAATATGGAAATTGTTGCGATGATCAAATTATTTTCACTTTTACAGATTTTGATACATTTATAATCGAGTGCAAAGATTTCACAAGTTATATCTAAAGTTGCAAATACTGTTTGCTTAAAGGGTTAAATGTTGTGTCTTGATTTACCAGGCTTAAACATTACCTTGGTGCTTAAAAGTGGATTAAATATATCGTTATCTTTTTACTTTCACAAGCACCATGAGATGTATCTGTCTTATTCGTTCAAGTTTTGAATAACAGCAATAAGCTATATGAGATAATAATTTATTATTGATTGATCAATGTTTAAATTGTGCAGTTGGGAAAGTGTTGCAAGAGGCTCGTTTAAGCTTATGTAAATTGAAGGATAAGCCTTGACAAATGATGTCGAAGGCGTAAAGTTCATGTTTAAAGTCTAATGTGATCTCAAGGCATATGCCTTATACATGGTTTTAAAATAATGATTCTAATTTTAATTTTTTCAGAGACTTGTGAATTTTTCTTTAGGTTTTGTTTAGGCAAAATAATGTTCATTGTTATGCTTTTCTTTTCCTTGTGCTGACATTCATTTTCACTGCTTGCTTTAACATACAATCAATTTTTGATCCATGTTAAAAAGTGAGCACTACATATACAATATATCTGATATCTCTGCTTACCTATTTCAGGGCTACAGTATATGACATTTAAAGATAGAGATTTCTTAGGGAAAATCAAATAGCACCTGGGATAAGGGCATTAAATTGCAGTACTTCCTAAAAGTTTTGAACAAAACTGCAAATAATCTGTTAATATGGTGAATAGGCTTAGGACCCATTTGCACAACATATGTTGATAACCGCCTAAAATCCTAACTTTTTGAATCAAGACTGTCAAGGTTCTGTGTTTAATCCTAACTCTCAAGTGCTCAACTATGTTCAGTAGAATTTCAGTTAGATGTGTAATCTACATAATTTTCCTCCAATTTCGAAAGGATGTCTTCCTTGTTTTAATCTTAAAACATTCATATAAATTTCTATAGAGAGAATGAGCTAAGCCTTATCTTCAATAAACTTGGTGTCAAGTATACAAATCATGCTTTTTTAAATAAATCTTCAATGTGCCCCCTCGGCAGACCTTCATTTCCTTTTCTCACATTCTATTTTTGATGTACATCTTCTTAATGTTCTTTATAATCTTTTAACTTGATAGATATATTTTGGTCAAATTAAAGTAAATGTAAATGTAAATTTTATGTAGTATGAATAGGGTTCATCTATGTCATTTGATACGTTTCATGAAGGTATTTGAGGATGCTTTTAAGTCACCACTAAACATAATTATCCTTGATGATATTTAAAGGTAACTACTATCGACTCTGGATGAATAATTTATTGAAAGGCTTAGGAAAGCTCACCCTAATAAGTTAATTCACACACCACAATTGAA